TGGCATAAAGTACAGTACTTGTATCTCACATTTCTTGATTTTGCTGTAGCATTACTACCGCTTGAAATGAAATGGCCTAATGTTCAAAAACAGTTTTCTTCTTTCCTTCCACATGAAATGGAATGTTGGAGAAAAATGCTTTTCCTGTATAAAGGTAAAGGTTCCCTTGCTCGAAAGCCAGTCGCATCCGACTCTAGGGTTGCGGTGCTCATCTCCGTTTCAAAGCCGAAGAGCCAGCGCTGTCCGAAGACGTTTCCGTGGTCATGTGGCCAGCATGACTAAACACCAAGGCGCACGGAATGCTGTTACCTTCCCAATTTCTTGCTTTCGAACTGCTAGGTTGGCAGGAGCTGGAACTAGAGATGGGAGCTCACTCCATCATGCGGCACCCAGGTCTTGAACTGCTGAACTACTGACCTTCCACAGCCTGCAGTTCAGCGTCTTAACCACTTGAGCCACTGCAACTCCTTTTCCTGTATACTCCCTGCTTTGTTACTACTTCCTGTGCTGGATTTAATTACCCTGGTCAGGTCCCTCACATAATCTCCCCTAGAACATCCACTCATTTGACGGCTTCTCCTAGTGCCCGGACGTCTTGTGCGCATGCAGCTCTTTCCATACTGTATGTTGCAACTTGTGTACTGGTTTGCAGGCTCCGAGTATCAGGTGTTAGAAGTCAGGCATGGCAGGGTCGTTCAGTCCAGAAGTCAGACAAGACAGAGTTGTTCAGTCCAAGGTCAGAGGTCCAGAAGTCAGGCAAGGCAGAGGCAGTGGCTTAGTGTCTATCATACGTGTTGCATCAACACCTAACAGCCCCTCTTGGCTGGTTTTTATGGCCCCTTGCCTAAAGGTCATGCTTGCAGCCAGCTGCTCAGAAGCAATCCTGCAACTAATCATCTTTTATCAGCAAGCAGCTGGCATCGGGCCAGGAGGCGTGTACATTGCCTCTTGTCTGTAGCTCTGTTCTCAGCCTCCATCTGTGGCATTCTAAGGGTGTGGGTGATAGTGGTGGGCTGGGAACAGCCAACTGAGGTTCACCTGCTGAATGAGGGCTGGAGGGTGTCTGTGGCTCTGCACCAGCTGTTGGCTGTGAATCGTGACAAGTCTGCAACCCATTTTCCTGCTTGGTCAGATTCTCCTGTTAACTCAAGGCTGGCTACTCGGGGCTCCTCTTCTCCTGAAGCATCATCTTCTCTTGAGAAGTCCTCACTATTCCTGAGCCCTGGTTGACCCACGACAGCTTGTTTGTCTTGTTCTGGAGCAGGCAGAACTCCTTGGCAGCAGGCGTGATCTTGGTATTCCCCACTGGAATTACGCCTCATGTGCTACATCTTTGGGATGGTGCGAACACAGCTTTTGGAAGTGTTTTTGAATTCAAAGCAGAAAAGCAATTCATTTCTCATTTTGAACTGCAGCAATGCAAAATTTGTGTCTGGGGGAACTAAAGAGCCAGCTAGATTTGAGAAATCAACTTGGAAGGAGGGGAGATTGAGCTCTGTTATGTGCCAAGGAGAAGGGCTATCCTGTTCTTGCTGTGATGTTCTGGTCTGTCACCCCCACCCCCCTTTCCCAACAGGGACTGCAAGCTTTAACTGGAGACTATAGGTTTTGACTTGGAAGACCCTTTCTGTGAGCTGGTTGTGATTAGGCATTTAGAAAGTAGGTGGCAGCCAGGAACCACAGATGATAAAAGATCCTGGGCAAAACATACAAAGTTGTCCTATATCAAGTCAGACCATTGGCTCATCTAGTTAAGTTCTGCCTGTTCTGATTGGGGCAGAAAAATAGCTTCACCCAGTACCCAGAGATGTTTATGTCTGAAAAGAAGAAAAAGGTTTTTACTAAACAGATTTGTGGGGAAATGAAATATATGTAATACTTATTTTCTCATCAAGCCAAAATTTATTTTCTTGCTTTAATAAGAGACATCATTTATAACTTCATTAGTATATCGAATAGTACTGTTCGGCATGTTCATGGGATTTAAAAGGACACATAGTACAGTTGTAAGCAGAGTTACGCACTTCTAGGACTCTTGAAGTCAGTGTGTTTAGAGGAATGTAACTCTGTTTAGAATTGCGTTGTTGGTTTTGTTCAGACAAAATTACTAATACATCTAATACTACAGAGAGAGAAAGCTGAAAACTGCAGTACCCGCTGCTACCTGAGCACCCATAACTTTTTATCATCTGGGAAGTGGGGGAAAAGGAAAAGTTGGTAACAGTAATCCATTTTCCAGTAAATGAAGGAGGATAATTTTCATTTAGAAATGATCTTCATGCAGTCACAGTCTCAGCAGATCTAACTTAACAGACAAAACAATAACCTTTGTAATAGTGTATTATCATACCCACAGATTTGTCTGATTAATGGTGGACAAAACAATTTATGTATCTACAGACTATGTATTGTCGTGTTTGTTGTTGGAAGCCGCCCTGAGCCTGCTTTGCAGGGAGGGTGGGGTATAAATTTGACTATAAATAAATAATATGGGAACTGTAATTCTCTAATACTTTAGGTTATATTTCAGGCCTTTATACAAGTCTGAAGAACTACACAGGTCTTAGAGTAATTTTGAATGAGCAAAAAGTTTGCCTGTAAAAGCATTTCACCAATTCCAAAATGAAATGTTTCATAGCAGGTTTTTCAGTGTTTCCCCACGTTTCCAATTTTTCAATTGGAAAAAAGGGCCTGGGGGGGGGGGACTTTATTTATTTACACACCCACACATTTCTCCTCATGTCTGCTACCTGATATGTTTTAATTGGAGATGCCAGGAATTGAATTTGGGACTTTCTGCATTCAAAGCACCTCTGGGCCACTTTCAGGAGAAAGCAGGAGAAACTGGCTTCCTCCCTTCTTCAGTGCCCCAGTACCAAGGTTTTTTAGTAGTCCCAGTCAAAAGACATTTGCTTTGAGTTGGGTTGCAGTGCAGATCAAGTGGAATCCTAGTTTGGGAGTGGATTTCACCTGGGCCTGACTTGGACTATATTTAGCCATCACTTAAAAAAAAAAAAAAAAGTATTTCTTTGTTTAATTGCTTGCTTGCTTTATTATAGTTCACCTTTCTTTCTGAGATGCAAGGTGGATTATGCAGTTTTGAAAAATGCAATAAAACCAGTAATAATACATACAGACAATGTATTAAGGCTGGATTGCAAAATTAGAAAATGCAAAACTGAGAGTGTAGCACGTACAGCAACACATACCACAAACAATGTCATGAAGCTAGATTACAAAATTAAAAAATAATACGGAGTAGTAAACATTGCCTAATATTTTTACTGACATTAAAACTGCAGCCCTGTTCCTTTTGCACAAACCTGACTTGTGGCTGAAGGTGGAGGCATGCTTTGCTCCTCCCTTCCCATTGCAGAGAATGCCAGGTAGAAATTAATTTGGATTATTCATTATGTACAAACACTGGCCTGTATCAAGCCAGTCTTCCCACTCAGGATTTTAAACCTGGATTAAACTGTAGAAGATAGACCACACAAAACATTTAGCCATAAATCAGGTCAGCACAACAGCCACAGTGAACTTGGTTTACCCATGTACGGCAGTGCTCAGTTCAGATCAGAACCAATGTTCCTTCTAAACTGAGTTAGTGTGAGCTAGCTCACAGGTTTTTAGCCTCCTGCTCACACCTTTTTGTCTTCGCTCAGGAAGGATGGCTCCAGAGCAAACTCATTTATGCAGTAGCCAAATTGCTCGCTCACGACTTTAATGCCAGTAGCTCACAGAGTAGAATTTTTGCTCACAAGACTCCACAGCTTAGAGGGAACATTCATCAGGACCGTAGCACTGGCGGAGGAGGGGTTCTGGGCCTTCCCTCTGCACCATCATCAACGATGTGGGTTTTTCAGAAAAATTTGAATCAATTCAAATTTATTTAAATAATTAAATAAAATATTCAAATAATGTTCTGAGAATTTGAGTAACATTAGCAAAAAGGAGAGAAATGCACTGTGTACAGGCCTGGAGTGTGTACAAGCATTGGGGTTTGTCCATTTTTCATATTCCACATTTAGACTATCCGATATGATTGATTTTCAGCATAACAGCTCTAATAACTAAAGATAAACAGATTATATATGTAGGGTGGGGGAAACATTTCCCTGGAAAAATACAGCACCAGAAAATTTTCTACCTCACATCACTGACCATCATCCCAAATGGCAACAGTGTGTGTGAGAGCCGGTGGGTTTTTTGCATATGTGATATCATAAATTTACTAACTCCAGTTAACCCACATGCCTGTGATTGTAACTTCTGAATAACATGAGTTGTGTCTGGCCGGAATTCTTGTGGAAAGGTGATGATGATGCAATCTGTGACGAGTTGCTGCATTTTCTGTAACCAAATCATCTATTCTTCTAAAGTCTTCAGACTGGCAGTTGAGTCAGGGGGCAGGCTGTAGCTCTTGGTAAGCCAGGCATAATGCAGAAGGCTGTAGTTGCTGACCCCAGCTTGAAAAGCCTGTGCCAGATTCAGTGGTTGGAATAAATTCTGTGAACTTGAACAGACTTTTCATAACTGTCCAATTTAAGCTGCCGATCCACTAGCTGTGCAGAGGGACAAGAATGATGAAAAAAGGCAGAATTTCACCCCATGTCTGGCTTCTGACATCAAGTATTTCTCACAGCTCCTTTGACTACCTTGAGGATTAGAAAATCGCTATGATTTTTTTTTAAGCTGAAGAGTGGATATGAGCTTATGCACAGGCCTGGCTTCACATTTCCATTGTTTTCTCTGCAGTTTTTTCAGGGAGATCTGCCCCAGTTAAATGTTCTGAAGAGTATAACCCTTGTTCTCAGTGCAAGGCTATTGGAGACTGGAGTCTGTGCCATTTCTTATCAAGAACAAATGTTCCTTTGGTTCAGTATGCCATGCCCAGATGGAGTGTTTGTTCTGGCAGCATTTTGCTATGCGGTGATAACGTCTGCTGGCTTTTAGCCTGGTGACCTTGCCACTCCACTAAATCATCTTTGCTGTTGCAGGATCAGTCCACAATGCCTGAGGTTAGAGATCTTGCCGATGCTTTGCCAGATGTGCAGATGGACCCAATCACCGGAGTTGGGGTTGTTGCTTCTCGGAACCGGGCACCTACAGGTTATGACGTTGTAAGTATAAGAGGGTTAGGAGCTGTCTCGTGATTTACCGTATGTTAATTTCCATGTATTATCAGAGTTCAGCTTTCCTTGGCTGAGAATGTGAGCTCTTGTTCAGTGCACAATCTTTTATGAAAATAAGTACCCATAACTTGGCCTGCCTGTTTCCCTCGCTGCACAGAAACATATTCTCGCGATCAATTATCTCTGTAATCTCTAACTCTCTGCAAACACTCTGTGCTTCCTTGTATCATAAATGGGAAGCCTCCAGTTCGAATTTTACCTCTCCCCAAAACTCAATTGGTGGCCTTAGGGAAGTCAGTCTCCCTCTCTCTGTCAGTCTCACACGGTGCCCCCAGCTGCAATGCAGAGATAGGTAAATATTACTGAATTGCATGTTGTGAGAACTGGAAATTGTGAGAAGTGCTTTAAGCGCTTGAATGTGCTGTGTAAAAAGCATCCCTGTGTCAATGCCAGCCCCTCCAGAGGCATGAAAGAATGGTGTGGATTGTTAAGTATTGGCTTAATTGCAGATCAGGTTGTGCGTGCAGTCCCCTGGGCATTCACGGATAATGTGCTCATACCTGTTTGGGAAACTTATCTGCAACAGCAAATGCGTGGTTTTTGCATTGGAAGTAGAAAAACTTCTTTTGTCGCAGCGTGATGTTGCTCTGCCCTAAACAATTCTCTTACTCCAAATGGGTATTATGCTGTCTGGTTTATTAAATTTATCTCCTGCCAACCCCAGGAGGCTTCAGGCAGCTTCCGAAGAAAATAAAACCATAAATAAACATTACAGTAATGAATAAAAACAAACTCACAGATTGCAATCAAAACCTGTCTATTAAGAGCACTCAAATGCTGGGCAGCTAAAAATACATTCCTCTAATTTTACATTGAGATGTAAACTCTCGTGTTCGCCAGACTCATGGCTTCGGCCTGTGAATTCTGAGTGCAGAATTTCTTTAAGGACTAGAGGGTTTCTGTTTTTGTTAAAACAGGCGAAAGGGGGAAAATGTTTCTAGCCCTCATGACATACAGGCTGGGTTTGTGAAGGGTTGGAGACCAAAGTGGGAATTCAGCAGCAGCATTGTTGTGGGGGTGGGGGTGGGAGAATAGGCTTCAGTGGGTTCCACTCAAAGGTCCTGCAATCATATTGACCACTTAATTACAGCCTGATACCGAGCCAAACATGGGGTTAAACAGGGAGGATTAAGTTCATTTTACGGGAACCTGGGGTGGGGGCACCCAGGCTGCAAGCAAAAGATTGTGACGCAATCTGTTTGCATCATTTCAAAAGTAAGATAGTCATTTTCTTTCATGATTCATGACGTGGTATAGATGAGATGGGGTCGCAGCCATGAGCATGTTACAAGGTTGCCTAGTGGCATAATGCGTCCGCCCTTGTTAGTGATGCCACTGTGGAGGAGAGAATTTAGAATACTGCCAGGCAAAAAAAAACCACTGCGCAACTCACTCAGTTTATGGTTTCCTCCTGCTGGAAATGCCTGTATAAGTCAGTGCTGGTCTTCCATCAATAAACCACTTAGTTCGGTATAGTGAACCTGATCCAGACGTTTTGTCAGGAACGTAGGCACTTACCTGACCAGCTGTGATTACAAAACTCGTGCCACAAAATCAGGCTACTGGGTTGGGCCCCTGCTCTGCATTTGATACTGTGGCTGGTGTGGGCAGAGCCTGAGCATCTTATCTCACATTCTGGTACAGATTTGTAACATGATGCTCCTCCTCCAGTTCCATCACCTAGAGCCAGTGTGGTGTAGAGTGTCAGACTAGTGTCTTGAAGACCCAAGTTTGAATCCCTGCTTGTACCATGAAAGTTGCTGGGTGACCCTGAGGCAGTCACACTCTCTCAGCCTAGCCTATTTCACAGGATTGTTGCAAGGATAACATGGGAGTTGATGGGAATGATGTAAGATGCTTCGGGTCCCCATTGGGGAGAAAGGTACAGTATAAATGAATTAAAGAAATAAATATACATAATCACCTCTTGAATCCAAACACCCCCCCCCCAATTCTGTGTGTTTCTGGAATGTCAGAAGCTCTGTTGTTAAGTTACCGTGAACACATGTTCTATGTACAATGTACATCTGATTTTTCTTTATATGCGCATTGAGTAATTCTCATGTTACATTCAACGTGTGCAGCTGGATGCTTGAAGCACCATATATATTTCTTTTACAGGTACTGTAAAGTGAACATGCATTGGCTTTTTCTTTCAGGTCTACACACAAGTTTTATGTGTGTTTCCTGTAACGTGCGAACAGGGTTTTGGATAGAGCATGGCATGGCAATAGATTTCTGCACCAGACCTCACTTAAAGTATACCTATTCTTCCCTTCTCCCCATGCTTGGGCCTGGTTCTGGCCACAAGATTTTGCTTTTGCGGCCAAAGAGTTCAGGTTTGTTTTGTGTGCGTTCAGGGCTTTTTTTGCAGAAAAAGCCCAGCAGGAACTCATTAGCATAATAGGCCACACCCAACAGCAGAAACTCATTAGCATGTTAGGCCATACCCCGACAGCACAGCTCATTAGCATATTAGGCCACACCCCGTGCCTTCCCTTGGCTTGCCTGGGCGCCCCACGGCCACAGGGTGCCTGGGCAAGCCCCCCCTTGGAGGGGAGGCAGTTTAAACTGCCTTCCCTTGGCTTGCCCAGGTGCTCGGGCAAGCCGGCCCTTGGACAGGCCGGGGAAGGCACGGGGAAGCATTTAAATGCCTCCCAGATCCTTCCAGGGGCCCCCTGGCCTGCCCACCTCAGAGTCGCCGGGGGGGGGTCACTCTCCAGACCTTCCCTCTGTAGCCGCACACACAGAGCTTTTGGCTGTAGTGGGCGTGGCCAACTCTGAAGCCAGACGGGACTCCGTTCCTGTGCGTTCCTGCCCAAAAATAGCCCTGTGTGCATCAGTGCAAATGCAAAGCTACCCTCCAAGAGCCCGAGGAAAAGGGTGAATGGGAATATCCTCCATCAGTCAATCTGTAGAACTTTGTGTGCGTCTTTCTCTGTTCTCCGCTGACTCATCAGGCAAGTTTTATGGCGCGCTGCCATTCCTTGGATTTGCAAGTCAATTCCGGTTGAGCGATCTTGGTTTAATTTGCTTGTTTGAGATAATATCAGAAGCTACAACGGTTTGGAAAGGAGATGGGGTGTTTCCTCCGAGCCCCAGGCCAGTGCTGGTTCCACCCTCAACTGTGTCCCTGTTTGCCTTTGCCTGATTTGCTTTGCCTCCTCCTCATAAGAACTACCTTGTCGGATCAGGCCGGAGGTCCACTGAGTCCAGGATTCTGATGCTGGCAGTATTCAAACAGCTGCCTCTGCCAAAAACTCACAAGTAAGGCATAACAGTTGCTCGAAGCAAACTAGGGAAGGAGGCATCTGCCCTAGCATTTAGCTTCAAATATGCAGGCACTTGATGCTCAGGTCAAGAGGCAGTGTGAAAACTCTCACCCTGGTGCTGGTTCTCCACCACCACCCCCCAACGCACACATACACCTATAGCCTTCCATAAGCTGATTAAACCCTCTCCATGCCAGCCCCAAGTAGAAATCAGTTTCATTTTCCAAATATCTGACTCCTCATTGAAATCATGCAAACATGTACCATTATTGATTTCAGTTTCTGGTACTTAAAAGCAGGGGTCATTTTGTAGAAAAAGAGGTGCAGGAGCTCATTAGCATAACTCATTAGCATAACTTCTTTGCATATGCCACACCCCCTGACATTACCAGAAGTGTGTCAGAAGGCAACACCCACCGCTCAGGCGCCACTGGACTGTTTTGGATTGCTAGCTATTGGGGGGGGGGGGGGGGAGCGTGGGAGTACTTTTTTACAGAGGAGGGAGAGCTTGTACCTGAATAAAACCTGGTCTTAAAGGTGCCACTGGACTGTTTTGGACTAGGGGGCTGGGAGGGGGCTCTGCAGCTTACCTGGCTGCTTCTTGCTCTGACTGAGGGCTGCTGGTAGCAGGGGGTGGGGCTTCTTGCATGTTCCCGCCCCCTGGGCTCTTTAGTGCCGGAGCTCTGCTCCTGTGTGCTCCTGCAGGAAATGACCGCTGCTTAGAGGAATACTACTTATGAACATTGGGGCTTCATGCAGCAATCGTAGCAGCTGATTGATTTACATTCTCTGTGGCTATCCTGGGACATGCTACACAGTGGCATGCTATCTTGGACGCTGGAGAAGCTAGGAAGGGAGCTGCTGTTCCTCTTGCTGCAGCTCAGATTCCCCTCTCCTCCCCCTGTCATATAGGATGGCTAGTTTTTATTCAGAGGCTGGGGGGTGCCATTCTAGCTCTTGGCAAAGGGTTGGGCAGTGCATATCCAACTTTCTGCCTTGCATCTGGCAGCCAGGGATATTCCCTTCGATGCTGCAAGCAGTATGAGATTGTAGGAGTGAGATCCCATGGGAATGTGTCCTGGAGGTATTTATAGGTAGCCTGGGTGAGCAAGAGTCTGACCCTGCCCAGATTCTGTGAAAGATGTTGGATTCTGCAGAAAGTGCTCCTTTTCCAACCGTAACCTGCTCTGTTTGGTTGGTCCATCATCCAAGAGACTGAAAACCAGAATCTAAATCTGATAGTATAAAGTTGCTGATGCTCCTTATTTCCGTCCTGTTTTTTTTAATTGCATGTCTTAAAAATCATCATCTGATGTACTGGAGTTAAATTTGAACTACAGTTGAAAAGGCTTTGGCGTCTGTTAACAGTACCAGTAGTTTGCAAGAGGGATAGCTGCTTGAAGCTTTGTATTTTTTTTAACTCTGAAAAGGCTAAGAAAGGGTTTGCACAGCTGTAGGAGGGAAAGCATCCCCCTTCCTCCATTGTTTTGGTTCTCTGCATGCAGTCTGAAGATTCACAGTGTTTGCATGATTTCCGTGAGGTGCCAGGTATTCCCTCAAGGGTGGGTCACACTTACTCTGAGCCTCCTACACTCTCTGCTGTCTCCACATCTTTTGCTAAGAAATCACATCAAACCTAAAGAAACGAAATAAACA